ACTCAAAGAAATGTCCACTTGAAAGATAAGCAGTGTGAGATGTGAGCGGCATGATGCAATGTTGCTAAAGACAACAGAAACCATCCAAATCAGTGATTCTGTTTACACTGAAGGCGTTTTATTTTTGACAGACTTGATGCAAGTTAATGGCCTGAATGTCACTTTGTTGTGTCTAATTTCTACTGTAGCTGCTGTGGCACAATATGACCTGACAATGCGTCCAGTGTGAGTCCAGACTGAGAACTGAGTGGGCTCAGTGTAAAAATGCCTTTCTTTGGCATGAATAAAGTCTCCTTTTGCATCATTTTCAAAACAACCAACGCAATTACATTCTTAAATATTGCATAAAGCCCTCAGACTGACAACTGTAATTTTGCAACTGCATTGTTAGGTTCCTGACACTTTTATATGCAGTATTAATCACAGTCTAAATGAAAGGACTGTGTACAATATGCTGGATTCATGTCAAAGAGATTGCATTAACATCCAGCCACAGGTTTCATCAACATTCAGCTGTGCATCCAACGCGAAATCATTCCGCCACATTACATGTGTAAATCAATGGCCGTAGCTCTATTATTTCCTACTATCAATGTTTCTGTCCATTAAAGCCGTCCATTAGCTAAACAGCCGTGGAGATGTCTTTGTGTCGCTACCTTCCAAAACATTCTCACTATGGCTCACCTAACAACCACTTTGGCCAGACAGTTAATAGTGAATATAAAGTAAATAAAACGCAATGAAATAAAATACAATAAAATAGGGAAAAAATGTAATAAATTAAATTAAATGAAATTAAATAATACAATAAAATTAAATTAAAATGTTAAAACAAAAAAATAAAAATAAAAATAAAATAAAAAATTAAAGAATTATAAAATAATGAAGGCCAATCTGGATCATTGAAAACCCCATCTGGCTGCCAGATAGGAATATGGTAAGGTATGGAATATGGTATATTTTATTTTCTTTTGCTTTGTTTTTGTTATTTAAGTGTTATACATTCAATTTGAATTAAATTATTTATTTTGTTTATATTTTATTTTCATTTTATCATTTTAAATATCTTATTTATTTATTTCTATTAAATTGTATTGAATAAAAAAAAAATCATATAAAAATTAAATACAATATGAATAAATAATCATTTAATTCAAATTAAAAATACATTACACAAATAAAACAATAAAAAAAATATTATTTCTATTTTATTTCGTTTTCATTTGATTATTTTTAATGCTTTCTTGTTTTTTTCTATTTAATTTTATTGAATACAAAATATTGTAAAAAAACAAAATAAACTGAAAAAAAAATAATAATATAAATAAATAATATTTAATTCAAATAAAAAATAAATAACAAAAATAAAACAAAAATATTATTTATATTTTATTTTATTTTCATTTTAATTTTACGTTTTGTTTTCATTTCATTTTATTGAAAGAAATGCATTACATTTTTCAAAATAAAATGAAATAAAAATATGAATATGAATAAATAATTAAATTCAAACAAAAATAACAAAAATAAAATAGTAAAAATATTGTTTATATTTTATTTCACTTTCTTTTGATTATTTTTTGTTTGTTTGTTTTTCCATTTAATTTTATTGAATAAGAATATTTTTAAAAAATGAAATAAAACAAGAATCAATAATAATTTAATTCTAATAAAAATAAATAACAAAATTAAAACAATACAAATATTATTTATATTTTATTTCATTTTCATTTTTATTGTTTTTCGTTATTATTTGGTTTTATTTTCATTTAGTTTTATTGAATAAAAATATACTTTGTAAAATAAAAAATTAAATAAAAAAATAAATAAAAAAAGAATTAAAAAAAATAAATGTTTAAAACTAAATTAAAAAAATGTTATATAATAAATGAATAATTCCTATCTGGCAACCAGTAGGGGATTTTAAAGACCCAGATTGGCCTTCATTATGATCTTGCTTTTGCCACACCTCAACATGTTTAATTAGCTTTTCTCCCCTCAGATGAAGAAGGGGAAAAGGTAGTGGGCTAAACGACAGGTTGCTTTGTGCGACTGAGAATAGCGAAAGACTGGAAGCCAACTGTTAGATGCAGATGGTCTGAGTGTCAAGCCAGCGCACAATGCACAAAGCAGGACAGGAAGATAATAAACACAGTAATGACACGTAAGGAAGAAAAGAAGGATAGGAAGCAAGAATGGACGCCAAAAGAGACCGAACAGAATGAGTGATCAACCCATCAGAGTGTATGAACTCTCAGCACATCTGCTCGTTGCCCACCGAGAGCGAGCGGTCTGCATTTTCCTTAATCTCTGACACAAATCACAATTAGTCACTCTGATCTCTTAAAGGGCTGAGCTGAGACCTTTTTGTCTGGAATGTAAGCAAATCAATACAATACATTATGCATGCAGGGCAGGCAATCTCACCGAGACCTGCCTTGAGCTGTTGAGCTAAGTCTGGATTGGGACAGGATATTAGCATGGCCAACGCTCGCTTCCATACAAGAACACGTTTAATAATCAAAAAGTCCTTCTGTGACTACTCACACGCTGAAGATTTCAAAAACTTTGTAATCAGTAGCTGAAAGAAAAAGAGTCAACGACAAAAAATCCATTTTACATAACTTCCAAAGAACCTGTATGGAAGTTCCAGGGATAGGATTTGATTAAAATGACAATCCCATCCATCTGGGACAGCGCGCGGGACATTTGGGAAACTATTCCTCAGAGCATTAGAAGAACATTCCATTAAAATGATCTTAGAGTGGTTGAGCACACCATCTTTAATGGGTTTGGAGGGAAATTTTATCACTCAGAAGTTGCTCTTTTACGGCTCAGGCGAGTTAATGGACTGCTTCAGCTGTAATTTATGAATCAACTTTTTTTTTCAGATGTCTATGATTAAAAATACTCTGACAGAAATGAGGAAACTGCTGAAGAACAGAAAAGGTCAGTTTACATTAAGGATAATAATAGGGAAAAAAGGTGTGTTTCTGTTTCTGAAATGTTTTTGTCAGTCAATAATCACATACTAGGGATGTCCAGATCCGATCACGTGATCGGAAATAGGACCCAATCATGCAGTTTCAGATCAGGACTATATATATAGCTTGAGGGTTAAATTGTACATTTTCATCTCGGGCACTCAAAAATAGTAATTTTTCAAATTAAAGAATTGTTTAGACTCAGATAATAAATAAAGCAAAATAATTAATGATTTCATGTGCGGCCCGGTACCAACTGATACCGTTCCACAGCCCAGTGGTTGAGAACTACTGGTCTAAGGTACAGAGACATAAACAGACACATGCTAACATTATGTGTCTTCAAAATTTAATATTTCTTCAAATTATGGATGAAAATATCAGATTCAGTGTGGAATAACTTTTATGCTATGTTTACACGACAATAATTTAGCCTAAAAAGAAAAAATAACAAAACCAAGAAACTTTTGAGCTTTTTACTTGAGAAAACAAAAAAAAAAATTTTAACATTATATTTATATATATTAGTGGTGGGCCGTTATCGGCGTGCTGCGTTAATGCAAGACTTTTATCGCGCAATAAAGAAAATATTGCCGTTAATCTATTCTCAGGTTGGTTTGGGAGCTGTGTCTATTCTTTGCAAGTTATGGTGACTTTCACCTTGATATTTTAGCGCGGATGTATAACTGACTAGTGAGCCGTCTGACAAAAAAAGTGCCCGACTGAATCAAATCAGTCGAATACAAATTGAATAAAAATATACTTTAATTGCAGTTCGACAGTTTCACTTTAACTCAAATATTTCATTCATGCCCCCGGGACAAACTGGGGTATTAGACACAAATAAGGAGTAAAGACTAATGAGATTGTTATGGAATTTGATAACGCAGGCCAAATAGAAAGACAAAAAAACTACAGCATTTCGTGATGTGTGTGTGTGTGTATGTGTGGTCCTTTACTGACAGGCAAGTGAGTGGATCTTGTCGGAAAATACGGCGGACAGTCCAACATGATGGTAATAGTTTGACTGCGGTGTTTACTTCTATAATGCCACTAATATATGCATACTCCACATGTCTTAATTCCATTTCAGTTTAGTTTAGTTATAACTTTAGTCTGATTAAGGTGATCAAAAAATCACTGTTTTGAGCTTATGTAGGCCTCCAATTCAACATTCATTTTTAACTGAATAAACAGTTAGTAAACACAAGTACATCTTATTGAACATCATTTATTTTCATCACCAATTATCATAGTAGAACAGTTTCTACAGCAGTTTGTGAATTTTGGAAACAGGAGATGGGCCACTGGTCTAATGCACCACCTGGCTTGAGAAACCTGTTCTTAAAGACTTATTATTTGGGTAGCACAGATATTCTGAATGCCTTTGGCAGAAATAATATGGGTCATTTTAATCAAAATAATGTAAATTAATTCCGAGATTAATCTAGATAAAAAAAATAATTTATGCCCACCTAAACTATATATATATATATATATATATATATATATATATATATATATATATATATATATATATATATATATATATATATATATATATATATATATATATATATATATATATATATATATATATATATATATATATATATATACACACACACACATAGTAAACAATGAGCAAACTTCATTTTTGGGGGGGTAAACGATCCCTTAAATTCAAAAGCCTAAAATGTGTGTTGGTAGCATACAGCTCATGTTGTCCACTAGTCTCAAGTCCTGAAAGATTTCATATTAGACTATAACATTGGTATCTGATGAGAGAATGTTTTAGCATCGTTTGAGTGATTGTTGAGATGTCTGATACTCAGTGTCGATTACCAAGGTCTTTTTCTCAGAGGAATATAAAAAAATCTATAAAGACTTCAGTAAACGCTTAGAAATAACAGATTTCCCTTCTGTAATTTGTCATTCCTACATGCAGCTCTGGTAGAAGCCTCAATCAGTATCAGCCATAGCAGACCGCAAATCAGCAGCTGACTTCACACTTACCGATGTTCACTTCATCATCTGTCTCTGCGTCGCCAATGCACTCAAACTGAAACTCCTGCAAAGACTGAGAGAACTTCTGCACTGCTGCCGACAGATCTGAAATAGAGAGGGATTTGAAAAGCCTATCATGAATGTTCTGTGAAGTGAAACACTGAAATAAAGCAACAATCACATTTATCTTCTATCATACTGCATAAAAACCTCAAGTTATGACATTCAAAGCAGATGAAAGCACGCTAAGAGCTGAAATCAAGCTAAAATCGATCAACTTGAGTCTGAGGTGTACGCTCTATTCATCACAACACTATGGAAATCTGTACAAAAAGGCAAATACGTAATCTTCACTCCCTGCTGAGAGTAAATGAGCTCTCGTTTTTGGAGTGCTAAGCGAACATCTCAGTTATCAAGAGTGGGCGGATAGAACTTGAACGGGAAACGCAAAGCAGCTCAATCAAAAACGGTAATGAGACTGTGGAGAGAAGCTATTTCATCATGTCTTAAAGAGGTGATAGACCTGACTGCTCATCTAAATACCAAAGCCTTTAAAAAGCTCTCCAAAGTTAAAAAATACAAAAATAAAATAAAAATCTCATTACTTTCTTCTTAATCTTCTATTTGGAAAATTGCAGGGATGGAAAATGGCTCTTTTGAGCTGAAAGGGATAGTTCACCTAAAAACTAAATTATTATTTACTGAATTAATGGCTCAATATCCAATATTCCACTTCTTTTATTTTAAATATATTTCAGTTTCTTTCTTCTGATTAACAAAAAATATTATACTTGGGTATATAATTCATAATTTAATATTTACTTTATTAATGGCATATTAATGGTAATATTTAATTTTTGCCCTAATATAGATGTAACCAATAACCAACTAGACAATATATATGCCAATAAATAAATTTGTTAATTTTCCTTCAGCTTTTTTGCTAATTTATTAAGGGTTGCCACAGTGGAATGAACCGCCTATTTTTGACAATAAATATGTGTAAACAATAAGGTCTGTTGTTTCATGTTAGGCAGCAAAGTGCCTCAGTGGTTAGCACTGTCACCTCACAGCAAGAAGGTCGCTGTTTCGAGTCCTGGCTGGGTCAGTTGGCATTTCTGTTTGGAGTTTGCATGTTCTCCCTGTGGTCGAGCGGGTTTCCTCTGCGTGCTCCAGTTTCCCCCACATACAAAGACATGTGGTACAGGTGAATTGAATAAACTAAATTGGCCATAGTTTTTGTATGTGAATGAATGTGTATGGGTGTTTCCTAGTACTGGGTTGCAGCTGGAAGAGCATAGGCTGTATTAAACATATGCCGGATTGTTGGTGGTTCATTCCGCTGTGGTGATCCTGTTGAATAAAAGGGACTAAGCCAAAAGAAAATGAATGAATGAATGAATGTATGTAATGGTTGTTTCTCTAAATTTGATCAGCTAGGGCCTTATCTTTATCCCTGCCTCCACAGCAATTACTTTTCTGCTATTGGCTGGAGCAGCCCAAAAGCAAACCCAGAGCTGAAAATAAACATGAATGGTGGGAGTCGAGGAAAAAAAAGGAAAATATCAAAAGCCAATATGAGTCAGAATATCTACTGAGGTTTTCACTCATTCACAGTGTTGTAAAGATGAAATATTTGCACCTTGAGTTTTTTTTTTTGTCTACACTAGAATCTCAGATCTGAAAATCTGTAAATTTTAAATAAATAAATACATAAAAATGTACCTGTTCATTTTAAATAAATAAATAATTTGAGAGCTAGTATAAATGGCATTTTTCTAGGGCAATGTTAAATCCTAATCAAAATATTGTTATCGCAATACTCAACAACAATATGGCATATAGCATATTTTTACAACATACGTGACATACACTCACTGGCCATTTTATTAAGTACAGCTTACTAGTACAGGGTTAGACCCCCTTTTGCCTTCTGCAGATTTGCCGGCTGCACTTGTAAAACCCACATTCCACCACATCCCAAAGGTGCTCTATTGAATTGAGTTCTGGTGACTGTGGAGGCCATTTGAGTACAGTGAACTCATTGTCATTTTCAAGAAACCAGTCTGAGATGATTTGCGCTTTATGACACATTATCCTGCTGGAAGTAGGCCTCAGAAGATGGGTACACTGTGGTCATAAAGGGATGGACATGGTCAGCAACAATACTCAGGTAGGCTGTGACATTGAACCAATGGTCAATTGGTAATAACAAACCTGTAACTTTTACGTAGAATAATAATTTCCTTGTCTAGCCATGTTTTTTAATTCTTGTGTTTTATGTTATCTATAGCCTTGTTCCTAGTTTGTCCTACATTTCTCCTATTTTGACTACTTGCCTGTTTATCAACAACAACTTCTGGATTATCTGTATCAACCTGATTTCTCCTGTGTTTACCGTTGCCTGCCTGTCCATCCTGTGGAATATCATGCATTTGCATTCGATCCTCTTTGCTACATTGTGTGTGACCTGTTTTTTAAGCCGAAAAGCATTGGGATTTACTTTATTTTATTAAAATTTCTCCTTTTATTACAAGTGTTGCTGGAGTTCCCTATTTTTACTTTATTTGCATTTTATCCACGCACCTTCTATGCTGGTTGAACGCTCCAGACCTTCTCTTACCAGTTGTTCTGACCTTTTGTCTTATTTTATTTTTTTACAGTGTAGGCATTCACAGCATGATGGACAGGAATACTAACTTCGAACTTTTAACTGTTGTCTTGATAAATCCTCCACAGGCATCTATCAAGAGAGGCCACGGAAATGGATTGTAATTCTCATTAGATAGACCAGCGCTAATACTCATACTGACACGGATCATCTGCAGTGAGGTTAGTAATTCCAGAAAGATCTAAAGTTCATTCTATACTCCTTTCAGTCATGTAGAGGCTTTGCTTTTAAGTTCATTGTATGCAAGTACATTATGGTGCATTATATATTTGTATATCTGACACTATAAATAGAAATACAGAGAAAAGTGAACATAAGGTTATATTTAAAGTCATATTTCCTTGTAAGCTGTACTTAATCACTAATATTATATCATAATAAGTTTCTCCATATTTCATTTCTTTAATATTAACTGCATCATTCATCTTCTATCCATTTTTTAACCGAACATGAAGGTTCAAGGGTAAACAAAACATAATATTTATGTAATTCTCTGCCTGGCTGAATAAAGATGCATACAGAATGCACGGGTTCAGGTCACGGACACTAGGGAGGATACAGAGGACACTGCAATCTCACTTATAGTAAACACTGGAACATTCCACTAGCAAGGGTCAATTCTACTGGCTACAGATTCCAAATGGATAAACGAGTCATGATTTTAACTAAAGAAAACAGTGCGGCAAAGGGCAACAGGATGTGATGTGATGTTTTTTTTTCCCACACCCCATTAAATCAACACACAGATTGCGATTAAGTACAGTAGATATTAAATAACACATTTTATTTCTACATTACATCATTTAGTTTAGGCAAGAACAACAACAACTAATGGAAAATGATCTATTAGTGCTCAATGCAAGCTTGTTTATATATTTGACTTGGAATTGTTTGTTATGTTTACAGTGATTCCATGAGGAAAGTCCCTGCTCTTTACTAAATTACTATAGTAAATGTAATCAAAATCAATGTACACTTTAATCCGTTTATTAACAGTTTCCATAATTTGTGTTTTCCTATTATTGTGAAATGGGATTTTTGATCTTTACTCTGTCGACTTTTGATGTTGGAAAATCAACTCTAGAGTTTAACAAAGTGACTTTTATTGACATTTTCAAGAGTTCACACTTAGATATTGCTTGATTCTAATAGCAGGTTTGGCTTGTTGTCCCGAGAGAGAACCCTGGTCTTAGAGATAATTAAGCCCAGGGCTCCTGCCTGGTCATTTAGCATGAAATGGGGTCCGAGATCAGGATAGATCTCGAGAGCTCCCCTTGGTAAATGAGGAAAAGGGGGAGATGGGGTGGACAGAGGGATTCTTCTTCTTCAAAAAAAAAAATTAAGATAAGAGGAGTAGAGCTTCAATCATAGAGCTGAAGATCTTTGGCCGAACCTGAAGGAACCAGATGGGTTCGAGCTTAATTTCTATCATTTTAGACAGGGTTGTGTCGGGCTCGGGATTGCACCGTAAATGAGAAGTCAAAAAGAGCGAATTTTGCAGAGTGGAAAAATGTACAGCAAGCTTACAGGGAAAATGATGAGGTCACTCGCTACATCTTGGCTAGTGGAAGATAAACAAACAACCCTACCCAAATTTGAAAAATAAGCCAGATTCCCTAATGATGATTAACAGAGCAATGAATTTTTCACAGCATTTCCTACAATATTCTTTCTTCTGGAGAAAGTCTTATTTGTTTTATTTCGGCTAGAATAAAAGCGGTTTTTAATTTCTTAAAAAACATTTTAAGGATAAGGAACATTAAGGAACATTAGTGTTCTGTATAAAGAAATGTTTAAGCGAGGCACACATCTAACGTCCTCTGCGCTGGACTTTACACCGGCTTTGTTCTGGTCTATTGAAAAATCTATTATAGTTTCTCAAAATAACAATGCGCCTCAACACATGTCCTTTTTTAGACCAGAACGCCTATGAGCGCACATATGAGCGCAAATGCATTTGCTATTTAAACAGCGTGGTGCATAATGTCAAAACGACTCATGCGCCAAGCTGAAACTATCAAACAACAATTGCGTCGCACCTTGCGCCGGGTGTATGATAGGGCCCATAGTGTTTGTCTTTGGACTGTTGGCAAACTGGTAGGAACCCACACCAACATGGGCAGAACATGCAAAGTCCACACAGAAATGCCAACTGGAACCAGCGACCTTCTTGCTGTGCAGCAGTGCTAACCACTGAGTCACCGTGCCACCCTGAAGTCTAAAAGAAATGCATAAATAATCCCCTTGTAGCGCCTTAGCCCAGGGAACCATGTACAACAATCCTCCTTACCAGTTTCCATTCATAAACATCTCGCTTCATATTGAAGGGAAATGTTCTAGGTCTAGTCATGGCCTCTAACTGAGATAAACACATGAATTTACTTCAGTATCAAGTTTCATCTGTGGCCTTATGCGTCACCCGTAGCACAGAGAG